GGGGGGGGGGGGGGGGGGGTACCCATGTTTATGCATGCCTTTGCTGTTTGACCATTGACCACGAGCACGCTGTTTACCCACTGGACGGACCGATCACGGCCGCCGGGGGAGGGAGGAGGGAACAAGGAAAAACGGTCGCGGTCGCAAGTTCTCCGGCATGTCTTGGAATCTTGCAGGGGAGGGGGACTAACAGCGAATCAATCTACCGCGGTTCTCTCCCCCATACCATGACGGAGGGTCAATGGGTAGGGGTTCTTCAAGAAGCATGGCGGAAGTGGCACTGGGGCTCATTTTGGCGACTTGGAACAAAGAGGATGCCGATCCCCAACACTACCATTAACAACCAAGGAAAATATTCAAAAATTGAAAAGGCATATTTTTCACCCATAAGCACAACGAAAACATTAACATTTATCGGTCTGCAGGCGGTGGAACTTGTACTACTAGTGGGGTGCGGTCTCTGCGCGGTATCGCAGCAGCAGCAGTCAGCGGCCGACATCCCACCTCTCCCGGCGCGTTGGCAGACGGAGACGCCGGTGCGGGAACAACTCCCCCGAGAGACGTGATGGTCTGGGCGTTCCCCGTCATGGTGGTACCGATCATGGACATGGACGCGATCGTCGTAACCGGTCTTCGCGTCACGCGCCGCAACAAGGAAAAGAGCGGCACCGCGGGGAGATGGCGGGGGAACGGGATCTTCTCAAGGGCGGATTCGAAGGACGTCAAGCAACAACAACGGGCCCCCACTGCTAGCTCGTTTCCCACCACACAGGACACTCAGCAAAGCTAGTAGCACCACCAATACCACCGCCACCACCCGGGGCAGGCGGGACCAAGCAAGCGAGCTAGGGCGGCATTCTACGGAAGAGCCAGCCAGCCAGCAACGCCTCACTTGACCCTTACTTCTTCTTGGAGGTTGAGTGGGCCTCGTTGACGTGCGCGTAATTCTCGAAGGCGTTCGCGGCGCTCGAACCGGCGACGCCGCCGCCGCCGCCGCCACCGCCGCCGGCGACGGAGGGCGGGATGGACACGCTCGCCGTCTTCTTGGGCCCGTTGCTGCCTCCGGCGATGCCGCCGCCGGCGCCCGCGGGAGTCTCGCTCGCGTCGCCGTGCACCTGCCGGGACACAGCCGCTCGTGAGAAAATGATTTTGCCAGGCTTGTGCTACCGCCGGTGATTGATGTCGGTTTGGTTTTATCATGATGACATTAGTGTGGAACCGCACAAGAATAAACAAACCACGGCGGAGCACAAGCCTGGAATTTTCATAACAAGGGCCTCCGACAGCAGTCCCACCGTCCCTGCCGCTGCTGCTACTGAATACACAACAACACAGCATGAGTTTATGCGAAGAAATGCACAAGATATGCCCTCACTTGCGGACGCTCTGCCGGGATTCGAAGGGCGCTCATACAGACCAAGAGGGCTAGCTCTTCGCAGCAAGCCTAAGGACTCTTGCCTGGAACGACACCCACTTTTCCATCATCCCCGCATGGTGAAAGACGAAGAATGGCCATCCACATTAAACAGCACAAGAAACAAAAAAAACACCCACAACACAGCGAATTGATCCTGACCCTCACCTTGTTGATGACATCGTCCGGCATGTCCAACGCCTCCACACCATCCACGAACTCCTCCAGACCGTACTCCGGCGGGGTCATTGCCTGATCGATTGGATTGGTTGATCGATCTGATTGGTCGGCGTGGCGACAATAGGACGTGAGGGAATCACACGAGACGACGCACAGAGCACGCAGCTTGCACAAAGGGGCCTCCGTAAGAAACCGTCTCCTTAAAGCGGCTCCAGTAGGCAATATCCATGCTTCGTTGGTTGGTTGTCCGGTGGAATTGTGGAAAATGTGCACCACGGGGCATGCAGAGGGCTTCAGCCAGCACAAACCATGCTCGCTCGAAGCTGACATCCGAGATGGTATCGGAATACACAACAACAACAACAACAACAACAGCAACAACAACAACAACAACAAACAACAGCAAGGCGTCATGTCACCTCGAAGATACACTCGTCGTTGAGGTCGTGCCCCCCTGCCACAACGAGCACGAACTCAATGTCGGCTCCGGTCTCAACCTCGGGCGGCTGCACCACAAACAAACAAGAACCCGGCATCAGAAGAAAAACATCAGAAGGAAGCATCAGAAAGGATCATCATCAGAAGAGCATTAGAAGAAAGCATGCATCAGAATATAAGGCATCAGAAGAGAGCATCAGAAGGGAGCATCAGGAGAAACAATAACATCAGAAGAAACCATCACATCAGAAGAAGGCATCAAAAGAAACCGCCACATGGGCAGAAAACTGACGGAATAGCAAAGAGGCGAGATTGGCGCCAGCAGGACAAGGCCACGGCACGCTCACGAAAAAAAAAAGACACCAACACTGGAATCGTTCAACAACGCTCGAGAACAGATGGCGGGGAGGCAATGCTAATCGATCGGCTCAACCGAGGATCCAAGTATTGTGGCGGTATTGACACCCGTTGCCCCAACGTCTACTCCGAAACAGCGGCGACCAACAGATGTTATGCCTCCCGCCCTACCCTAGTCGTTTTCCCACTTCGCAGCCCCCCGCACACATGCTCAATCGCGTGTCCCGCGTTGTATGCATAGCCGTCGCCCAAACCCAACCTCTTATCAATGTCCTCTCTATGCTGACCCCCCCCCCCCCCCCCCCCCCCCCCCCCCCCCCCCCCCCCCCCCCCCCCCCCCCCNATCGGGGTTGGGTTTTCGTCGCTTGGCAACGACGTTGTAAAACAAGCCGCCCCCCCCGGTGTTTGCCATCGGGGTTGGGTTTTCGTCGCTTGGCAACGACGTTGTAAAACAAGCCTCCCTCTCGGTGTTTGCCATCGGGATTGGGTTTTCGTCGCTTGGCAACGACGTTGTAAGACAACCCAATTCACTTCGTGAGCTCGGCAACCAGGTTACCGGTTTTTTTTTTACCTCTGTATTTTTTGGCGGTAACCAAATAACGGTGGTCGAGTGGATCATGTTGTGCGGGGTGGAGAAGCCTCACTCCGTGCAAGGGGGA